TTGTCAATGAATCAACAATTCATGATCTGGGGCCAAGACACCTAAAGGTGATTGCCTTCCATATGTTTGTGTCCTAAAATACTTCTTTGTGTTGTCCATACCCAGTTCAGAAGATAAACATAACACTGTCCTAAGCTACTAGCAGCTTTTCAGTGTATATAGTAGTATTCCTCACTTTTAGAAGAATTAAGTGTTTTGAGTCACTGATCCAATCATTCCACACACACTTGTGAGCATCTACATGTGGCGCTGTGGATACAAAGACATGGCTCCTGCTTTTGAGAGTTAAAATAGTATCTTCTAAAACAGGGGGATGCACATAGTAACCAGAATTGGAGCAGGTGGCAATGATACAGAAGACAGAAGTTTCAAAATAGCATAAAGGCAATGTTCATTCAGGTATGAGGAATAACGATCTAGGAGTTGTTTTAGACTCAGGCTCTCAGAAGGCATGTTGAAAAAGTTTGAGATGAAAGGAGCAAACACACTGTTGATAGAGATAAGATTGTATAGGAGAGGGGCTTATCTTCTTTAATTATGGTAAGAACGCCTAACATGAAATTTACCCTCTTAACAAAATTTGCTGTATCGTTAACTATAGACACAGGGCTGTACAGCAGATCTCTGTGACTTCATCATCTTGCAAAACAAAACTTTATGCTCATTGAATAGTAACTCCCAATCGCCCTGTCCCCAGGCCCCTGGTTACCAGCATGCTACAGTCTTCTGTCTGAGTGCTCGAGGTACCTCAAATAAGCAGAATCATACAGTATTTGTCCTTCTCTGACAGATTTATCTTACCACTAGCATAACGTCCTTGAGGTTCATGACATTTTGCAGGATTTACTTGTTTTAAAGGCTGAATAATATTTAGTTATATATGTATACCACATTTTCTTTAGGCATTCATCCATCAGTGGATGTTTGCATTGTTTCCCCATCTTGGCTATCGTAAATAATGCTGAAATGAACATGAGAATGCAACTATTACATCAAGATCTTGATTTCAATTCTTCTGAATAAATACCTAGAAGTGTGGTTGGTGGATTGTATGGTACTTCTATTTTCAATTTTCTTTTTTGAGGAAGAGAGGGGCCTTATATTTTTATTAGACAAAAGGTGAAAAATGTATGACTCAGTAATTTAAAAGCCACTCTTATACGATGCTACATAATGCTTGGGTATATTTCTGGTCTTTCTGTGTAGTTTCATACATCTATTGATTTTAGTAGGAAAAGATGGTGTAGCTTAATGGTAAAGGGCATTCTGGAGCCAGAATGCCTGGATTTCAACTAGGACTTGTGTGAATTAGAGCAAACCTAAGAAATGTATGTGAGGATTAAATAAATTAATATATGTAAAGCACATTAATATATGTGTACTATAAATACCCAAATTGCATACTAAACATTGGGTACGGTTTTAATTTGTTTTATATTATTATTTACCTAATTCTTTTCTAACATTTCTAACATTACTGCAGTTTCATTAGAAAGCTAGGTATGTGGTAAAGCCAGTTGCCCATCTTGTTCTCCTTTTTCAAAATTGACCTAAATACAGACTTCTGCTTCTGGACACGATGGAGTAACAGAGATTGGCTTTGTCCTCCTGCTTTAAACAATTAAAATATACGAAATAATGGTTTTCAGACATTGGACAATTGATAGCAAGAGACAGTGATCCCTGAGAGAAGGGAAACAGTTGAAATAAATTTTATGATTGACTCAGTTTACTGTCTGGAGGGAGTTTCAAAAGCCACAGTGTAGGAAGGAGGAGCCCAAAGAGAGCATATTGTCTCTCTAAGTTGTAAAGACAGTTCAGAATTCAGGGAGACCAAGGTGGCTGGAATAGTCAGGACAAGATACCAGAGAGGAAAGATCTGGAGAGACAGAGATCCCTGGAGCTCTGTAGGTTTCTCTCAATCCTCAGCTATGTGCTGATCACTACATATGAGGCAACTATCTGAAGCCGACATAAGAACCACAGAAAGAAGCAGGTGAAAAACTCCTGAAGCTCACACAAGGTTGGAGTAATTCATGTTCCCAGTAGCCAGACTGGAGAAATCCCATAATATGTCTGGCATTGGGTTAAATACTCAGTGAGCATTTTACCTCAGTAAGATCCAAATAGTCCTTAGACTTAAGTCTCTTATGGTTCCACCTAACAAGCTTAATGGAAATCTTGACATTTTTATTTCCAAATAATTTTACCGGGTACCACAAGAACACAAAAAATATTTTAAGAAATAAAGACATTTCACACTTAATAATGTAACATTCACAAGGTCTGCCATTCAGTAAAAATTATTGGTTATTCAGAGAAGCAGGAAAACATAATCCATAATGATAAGAAATGAACTCAATAAAAATAGACCCAGAAATGCTGTAAATGATAGAATTTTAGACAAAGACATTAAAAGAGCTATTACAAAAACACTCACTATATCAAAAAAGGTAGAGCAAAGCATGAACATGTTAATAAAAGACAGAATATACCTCCCCAGAAGACCAAAATAAAACTTATAAAGATAATACACACAGTATCTGAGAAGAATAATATGCTGGGTGGAATTAATAGCACATCAGAGAATTCAAAAGAAAAGATTAGTGAACTTCAAAGCATAGAGATAGAAATAATCTCAAATTAAGTAAGAAAAGAGAAAGAAAAAAAATTAAAAATAGATGAGGAGAGCACCAGGAAACTGTGGGATAACTTTAAGATGCTTAAGATACTTATAACTAGAGAGCCCCAGGAGAGAAGAATTTGGAAAGTGGCAATAGAAAAACAATGGAAGAAATAAGGGCTGAAAATTTTCAAAATTGATGTGAACTGTAAACACATAGATCCTCAAAACTCAACAAACCACAAACACTGGAAACACAAAGAAAATGACACGAAGATACTAACTTATCATAATAAACTGCTCAAAGGTGGTAATTAAAAGACCCTCTTAAAAACAGCTGGGCAAGAAAAGACACATTATGAAAGGAGGAACAAAGGTAAGAATGACAGCTGACTTCTCGTCAGAAACCAAGCCGGCAAGAACACAGTGGATCAGTATCTTTAAAGTCTGAGGGTTTTGGAAAAAACCCATCAACTTAGAATTCTATCCATAGCAAAAATAGCTTTAAAAAAAAAGAAAGTGAAATAAAGACTTTTTCAGACACACAAAAAGTGTAAGAATTTAACAGCAGCAGCCATGCACTGCAAGAATGTCCTTCAGACAAATTAAAATGATGCCAGATGCTAATCTGGTTCTATACACAGAATGGTATGTATATGAATAAATAAAAGAGACCTTTCATTTAATTAAAAAATAAGTTTAAAGATATTTGACTGTTTAAAGCAAAATAATAGCTATGGTATTGTAGATTTGTAACACGTAGAATTAAGATGACAATAGCACAAAGGTCAGAATTGGTGAAGTGGGGGTAAACTGCTGTAAGGTTTCTGTGTTATAGATAAAATAGTATAATATCACTTGAAAGTAGGCTGATAATTTAAAGGTATACGCTATTACCCCGACAGCAACCACTGTAAGAAAGAGGAGTGTCTAATAAGGCAATAAAGAAACTAAAATGTAATGTGTTAATTTTCTATTGCTGTGTAACAACTACCACAAATTCAACAGGTTAAACAGCAACATATTTAGCTTCTTCCTTTGCTCAGGGTCTCATGTGGCTGATACTCATGGGATTGGCTTGGCTTCATTCTAATCTGGAAGTGTGACTAGGGAGGATGTGTTTCCAAGCTCAGGAAGGTTGTCAGCAGAATTGACTTGATTGTAGTTGTATGACTGAGGTCCTTTCTTTTGGCTCGTTATTAGCCGGGGACCGCTCTCAACGCCGAGGGCTGCCCTGATGGACTTTGCTATGTTGTCCTCACGAGCCCTTCCAAATTATGGGAACTTAAGGTGTCAGGATCAGCAGTAACAGCAGTAAAATCTCTTACTTCTAATCTCCCACTTCAAGAAAGAACTGGACGTTTTTATAAATGGCTCACTAAGGATAATATCCTTTTTGATTGGTTGAAAAAAATCAACTGATTAAGGGCCCTACTTACAGAAAAATGCCTTTATCTTTGCCGTATAAAGTAATATAACAATGGGAGTAAAATTCCATCATATCCATAAGTTCTGAATAAAACGGAATATGTAAACTATAAACCCACAGATCCTCAAAAGAGTCAAGGGTAGAGGAATACACAGGGCATGCACACCAGTGGTAGCAATCTTGCGGGCTGTCTTAGAATCGTGCCTACCACATGGAATAATGAACAAGTTGTTAAGGAATAGATGTAGATAGAAAAGTCAAGAAGCTCCAGGGATGGGCCCTGGGGCAGAACAATATCTAGAGGCTGGACTGATGAGGAGTGTATTAGTTTACCGTTACTGCTATGACAAATTACTGCAAAATTAGTGGCTCAGAACAACACTAATTTCTTCTTTTATAGTTCTGGAGGTCAGCAGTCTAAAACCAAGCTCTTATCAGGATTTAAGAATGAACTTCCTTTGGAAGCTTCAGGGAGAGTCAGTTTCCTTGCCTTTAGTAGCTTCTACAGGCCATCTGCTTTCCTTGGCTCACGCCCTTTCCTTACGTTACTCCAGCGTTTTGCTTCCATCATCTCATCACTTACTACTGACTCTGATCCTCCTGTTCCCCTTTATAAGATTACATCGGACCTGCTTGGATAATCCAGGATAATTTCTGTAGCTCAAGATTCGTAATTGAATAATACCTTTCAAACGTGTAAGGTAACATAGTCCGTTTCCCACTGTTAGGGCGTGGATACCCTTGGGGACCGATAGTTAACCCCTCATATGGAGGAATGAGAAGATAAGGCTAAAGGAAGCAGCAACCAGTGAAGTAGACAGAGCACAGAAATGTGTTCTGGAACCAGGCGATGGCAGTTCTTCAAGAAGAAAGGAGTGATTTCTCTGTTAAATTCCACTCCTTGATTCAGGAAGGTGAAGATGAGAGTTGACTGTTAGATTCAACCTAATGGACATCATTGCTGACATTGACAAGAACTGCATCAGTGGGAATGTGAAGGGAGACAGCCTGATTGGAGTAGGATCAGAAGATGGAGCAGGGCCAGCTTCATGGGTATAAGATCTGTACAGTCCGTCCCACAAGACCCCACTCTTAGAAGAGATCCCCATTTGGATTAATGATCTGCTGTCACTGTCTGGAAATTCTTAATTTTGAACAAGGGATCTCACATTTTCACTTTGCACAGAGAACAGCAAATTATGTAGCTGATCCTGCAATGGAAGAAAATGTTGGAGACAGTGGTTATGGATAACTCTTTCAAGGAATTTTACATAAATGAGATCATAAAATAAAGCTAGAGGAGGAAGTGGGGTCAAGGGAGAATTTTAAAATTTAAGGTGGTTGCTTTCTAATCTGGTGCTTCCTACGTAAACAACGGAGCGTCAAGGCCGACTGGGACAGATTTTCCCTGTTGCTGGATGTCCCACGTGTGGTTTTAGATGAGTGCCCAGCATGATTTCATGGATCCCTGAATAGGAAGATACACCTCTGTTTTCTTGGCTCACCTCCATGATTTTTCCTGGGGGTTGGTGGTTTCATGCAGGAAGGATCAAAAGCTTATAAACTCCAACATATCTTTTCAATCTGCCAAGCCTATGTCACTCTGAACTCTGGCATATGAGATTAATTTTCCCGGCTTTGTTCTTCACAGAGCCATGCTTTTTCAGAAACGTTTTCAAATTGATTTTATCATGATTTGCTCCAGCATTTTCCCAGGCATACCAGTTAAGCTGACTCAGGGCCAGAGTCATTCATTGCTGTCCTCAGGAAAGATACCCTGTTGGCATTTGCCCAAGCTGCAGGCATTTTTTTTTCCCCATCTATAATAGTCACTGGAAATAAATTTCACTGTGAAGGGCTGCTAACCACACTTAACAAACAACCATCTAAAGAGCTTGTGTTAAGTAACTAAACATATCAACTGTCTCTTCTATCAAGTAAGAAAAGTAGAAGCCACATGCATCCAAGGCCTCATGAAGTAATCTAACCTTGTCCATTTTAGGTTAGAAACTTTCAGAAATCCCTGAGATGGATGCCATTGAAACAGTTAACTGAAAAACAAAAACTGTCAGTCTCTCAAAATATGTTTAATACAATGTCTACAATCATTCTACTTATTGGAGCAAATTATCTTTCATGTAATGGCTTCAATTTTGCCCAGGGACAATTCCTCAATGTAACCCATATTAATAATTTAATAAAACTTAAATAAAATGGTATTATCTGATATTTGGAAATTTCAGATTTATATAAGACTTCCTTCTTTTTCCCCTTAATTGACAACACTCACTGCAGTGCCTCCCCTCAGTATTTACTCAAGAAGTGCCTGAAGGTTTGAAGGTGACAAGGCAGAAGGGTGGAATAATGGACACGTGGACGGAGGAACAGATCTCAGGATAATTTTTTTAAAGCACTTGTATTAATTTTTTCCCTTTTAATTTTAAATTGAAGTATAGCTAACATACAATATTATATTAGTTTAAGTTGACAACAGAGAGATTTGACAATTAAATACTTTATGAATTGATCACCATGACTAGTCTAGTAACCCTCTGTCACAATACAAATTTATTACAATATTATGGACTATATTCTCTATGCTGTAAATTACATCCCCATGACTTATTTATTTTATAACTGAAACTTTGTACTTCTTGATCTCCTTATGTATTTTTCCCAACCTACCCCCGTGCTCCCCTCAGGCGACCCCCAATTTGTTCTCTGTATCTGTGAGTCTTGTTTTGTTTGCTCTTTTTTGTTTGTTTGCTTAGATTTCATATATACATAGAATTATACAGCATTTATCTTTTTCCATCTGACTTACTTCACTTAACATAATACTCTTTAGGTCCACTGATGTTGCAAATTTCACCTTTTTTATGGCTGAGTAGTGTTCCATTGTATACATATACCAAATCTTCTTTTTCCAGTCATCTATTGATGAACCCTTAGGTTGCCCCCTTTTCTTGGTTATTGTAAATAATGCTACAATGAATATAGGCGTGCATATATCTTTTTGAATTAGTGTTTTTCATTTTCTTGAGATAAATATCCAGGAGTGGAATTGCTAGATCACATGGATATTCTACTTTTAATTTTGGGGAGAATCACTATACTGTTTTCCATAGTGGCTGCACCAATTTACATTCCCACCAATGGTGCATGAGGGTTCCATTTTCTTCATGTCCTTATCAACACTTGTTATTTGTGGTCTTTTTGAAGATAGCCATTCTGACAGGTGTGAGGTGATATCTCATTGTGGTTTTGATTTACATTTCCCTGATAATTAGTGATACTGAGCAACTTTTCATACGTTTGTTGGACCATCTGTATGTCTTCTTTGGAGAACTATCTATTCAGTTTCTCTGTCCATCTTTTAATCAAGTTTTTTGGGTTTTTTGATACTGAGTTGTGTAATTTCTTTATATATTTTGGATAGTAACTCTTTATCAGATATATCATTTACTAATACCTTCTCCCATTTAGGATGCCTTTTGGTTTTTTTGGTGGCTTCCTTTGCTGTGCAAAAGCTTTTTGGTTTGATGTAGTCTCATTTGTTTATTTTTGCTTTTGTTACCCTTGCCTGAGGAAGACAGAACCAAAAAAATTTAGCTAAGACTGGTGTCAAAGAGTGTACTGTCTATACTAGAAGGCTGTGCTCTACACTGGAATTTGACACAACATTGTAAAATGTTCTACTTCTATACTAGAAGTTTTATGGTTTCAGGTCTCACATTTACATATTTAATCTATTTTGAGTTTATTTTTGTATACAGCATAAGAATGTAGTCCAGTTTTATTCTTTTGTTTGCAGCTGTCCAGTTTTCCTGGCCCTATTTATTGAAGAGACCATCTTTTCCCCACTATATTCTTGGATTTTTTATTGTAAATTAATTGACCATGTAAGTGTGAGTTTATTTCTGGGCTCTCTATTCTAATCTGTTGGTCTAATTTTGGGGTCAGTACTGTACAGTTTTGATTACTATAGCTTAGTAGTATAGTTTGAAACCAGGGAATGTGGTACCTCCAGCTTTGTTCTTCTTCTTTTTTTTTAAATTTTTTTATTGATTTATAATCATTTTACAATGTTGTGTCAAATTCCAGTGTAGAGCACAATTTTTCAGTCATACATGAACATATATATATTCATTGTCACATTTTTTTCTCTGTGAGCTGCCATAAGATCTTGTGTATATTTCCCTGTGCTATACAGTATAATCTTGTTTTTCTATTCTACAATTTTGAAATCCCGTCTACCCCTTCCCACCCTTTGCCCCCTTGGCAACCACAAGTTTGTATTCTATGCCTATGAGTCTATTTCTGTTTAGTATTTATGCTTTTTTTTTAATTCCACATATACTCATATTCCTCTCTTTCTGGCTTACTTCATTTAGAATGACATTCTCCAGGTACATCCATGTTGCTGCAAATGGCGTTACATTGTAGGTTTTTATGGCTGAGTAATATTCCATTGTATAAATTGTGTAATTGTATAAATATACCACTTCTTCTTTATCCAGTCATCCATTGATGGACATTTATGCTGTTTCCATGTCTTGGCTATTGT